CAGTGTATATACATAGCGAGTTTAATTTAAAACCTTTTAAAGGTTGTGGAGAGGTTACGTGCAACCCTAATGACTCGTTTAGTCGAGAGGCTGCATACATAATTATTTTAACCAATCAATCCATACAAATTAGAGTACAAGAACAACCATTCACACACACAACAGAGGTCCAGTCGTTCGTAGTTCAAGTGTCGTGTTTTGTAAATTATTTACAGGCGCATTTGTTCTCTTTAATGAACAACAATAAATCCAAAAAAATATGAAATTGAGAGGGTAACTCTTTTTTTCGTGGCTTTATTTTCGTTCATCATGTTCAAATCATACAGACACCGAATACTCTCGTTCTGACGCAAAAATATATTGCTCCATTTTATTTTTGGTTTTAAAAAACTATTCATAAAATCTACGCATCATATTATTAAATATTTTGTACAAAACATGTAAGTTTTTATCCAAGATAAAAACTGTGACACAAAATACTTCTAATGTCTATGATTTTTTACTAATAAAAATGTCTTAGTCCTTCATAACGTGAAGATTAATTAAGTAATACGGGTTTGAAGCTCTCCCTGTACCTACTGTCCACGTTCACCTGGCAATAAGTAGGTGCTTGGGAGTCAGTTTCTTTGTACCTGCTGTCCAGGTTCACCTACAAGCGAGTACTTGGTACTAGCAGCTTTAGACCTATTACCCTTGCTTACGTAGTAGTAAATAGGTACTTGGGTGTTAGTCGAATGTTGTGGGTGGCATCCTGGGGACGGGAAGATGAGTGCCTAGTACACTTTAAATATGCAAATACTAATATTACTAGAGAAGACAGGAATTCAGGATTAATTATTATTATAATCATACCCAATCGCTAAACCCGTAAGGGTCATACAACGCTGCAGGATAGGGGTGTGCTGAAAGGTATAATATACCTGACCAGAGACCAGAGAGGGTGAAGAGTATAATAGAGGTAACGTTAGTAAGGGCGTCGAGGAGTACTAAAGGAGGTGTAATCAAAGTTAGTTGCCAGAAACTCAGGAGATTAATTGATCTGTATATTTCAACCTCCCTTCTGGGATCCTCTTCAGCAGATCTGCTGAAGAGGATTCCAGGAAAGGGATGGGAATATACAGATCAGTTAATCTCCCGAGTTTCTGTCTCTATGTGGGTTATTATTGAGCACTGACAAGTGTTCATTACACATAAGTTATTTATTACTAGAGGAAAAAAAACATCATGCAACGACAACAATAGTGAACTTGCCAAACATATTTTCTCAATTGGGTCAGCGATGTAAAAGTATAATTTACACTTGATACAGGCGCAACCTGCAGTGCTGGAGCTAATTTTCCTAATGGATCCCGGTGATCATTGTTGCAATAATTGTTGTAACACTACACGAGTTGCAAGGTTTGTGATTTCGACAGTTGTGAAATACACTGGTTACAAATATTGCGAGTTCTCTGGGCAGTACGAATTATTATTATCAAATTTGGTACGGTTGTGTCGCCAGTTATTAGTTTACGTTAGTTTATACAATTACAAAGTGTAATAAACATTGATTAATGCACAAACAAACCACGAGGAAACAATACATCTGATGTAGATAAATGGTTCAGAGAACCGAAAAGTTGATAAATTAGACACATGTGCAACACTTGGGTATCTTTATTGTGTAAACGTTTCGCCACATAGTGGCTTCATCAGTCCCATACAAAGAAGAATAGTGAAGGTGGGATGGAGTTTCAGGTAATCAGTCCCTGATCCTACATTGATGGACTAATTATATAGACTCCAGGACTGAGGGACTGATTACCTCAAACTCTTTCTAACCTTCAACCTTCTTTGGACTGATGAAGCCACTGTGTGGTAAAACATTTCCACAAAGATACCCAAGTGTTGCACACGTATCTAATTTATCTATACAACTAATGATTGATCTAAATAGCATGTTCTGCAACCTATATCTTTACGTCAATCACTGGTAAAATGGATTTTAAATAATTAGGACATAAACTAAGGCAATGGTTCCCAACCCTTGCACCACCATGGACCCCAGGTTTTTGTAAGGTCTGTCTACTCTACAACTAACAGGAGAAATGGCTATAACTATGACAATAATTTTTAAAAGGGTGGACCTGTAAGCCAGAGGAAGGCCTCGGTCAGATGACCAACGCGGGTCATCATCTGACCAAGACCAGCTTCAGGACACACTTGTCCTGTTTCCTGACAAACCTTACCTAACCTAACCTAATAACAAAATCATTTTCCCAGTTGTCTCTCTCACTTCAGAGAAACGTAACTAAGTATGCAATTAAATTCTGAAAGAATATCTTTATCAGCCTTATCGTGAGCAATTATACATTTTACACAGCAGTACTACCTTTGAGAACCCCAGTACGACCTTAGCGGACCCCCATGGGTTCGTGGAACACAGGATGGCAACCGCTGCACTAAGGCCTTGTTTAGCTAACTAAAGATGGCCTCAGTATGAGACCCGAAATATAAAATA